TGAAAGTATCTCCCAGCGAGTTTGTAAATCCAACAGGGTTAATTACATGGCCCCGCATGTCACCTTATAAGATGACGTTGTTAGGGGGTGTGTATATGGCATGTGTCTGCAATGGGCGTCTGACAATGTTACTTCCGGCTATTAGTCGAGTGCCGTATATCCACATTCGTCCCTCTCACGATAACAAATATCCACCACACCACCTGGAGTGTATCCCCCCAGACCCGTTCGAGGGCTTCTAAATTACATTTATAACTTCAACTTTCGTCGTTGACCCTGCAACTCTCGTTGTACTTCTCTAGATACCTTGGTAGAGAGTTGTGTGATTATACTTTTGTCTTGCATTGTCTAATGAAAAGATAATACCTATAAATGTTTAGGACGGAAAATTTGAAAAAGAAAAAAATTACAGGTATATCATAGTATGACAAAATTAATAGGAATAAAAAGTATTGATATTACTAGTATTTGCACACTGGCCTTTATTACATAGTAATTACCACTTGGTTTTGCAAACTCTGGGGACTCTATTGTGACTCTCTTCAGAAATCAGTGGACCAGAGAGTCAGACTGTCCTCTCCTGAGAGTAGGTGAACCTACCTTTTTTGGAATATAGGCAATCGCATCGGCGATCGTGGTCTTGTTGTTGTTGTTGAGAGACATGGCCACCTAGAGAGCAGAGAGAGGAGCGACCGCGTGGCTGTTGTTTTTACCGAGCAGTTTTGTGTGTCTCGGTTCGAAATTCTTGTGTCTCTAGAGAGAGTTTGACAGCACCCCCAAAATAAATCTCTGGCGCCACCACTGAGCCTGACTATTTGTGTTGGGGGGGCCCGACTTATTTTTTTCTCCAAAGGGGGGGCCTGACAGAAAAAGTTTGAGAACCACTGATCTAAAGTAACAAACAGAGAATCAGCACTTTGGAAACAGGGCTGAAACAGAGGGGATTATGGGTAATGCCGCAATGATCTGTTTGGTGTTTCAGCCAATCAGAGACATGTTCTGTATATATCTGAGACCTATAATATATTGATGAAAAACAGTATGATAGGGGACCTTTAACATTACACATTTATTGAGTTGATACGTTTGGCATAACTTATAAACGTATCTTATCTATACGTTTTAAACCAACTCATCTGTTCCACTTTGACCCTACTGCAGGTGAGAAGCTGGAGGGGTTCCTGCGCTCCCTGAACAGCAGCAAGCCTCAGTACCTGGGCCAGACGGGCCTGGGTATGGCCGAGGAGCTGGGCCGCCTGGCTCTGGAGCCCGGAGAGAACTTCTGCATGGGGGGCCCCGGGATGATATTCAGTCGAGAGGTTCTCCGCAGGATGGTCCCTCACATCAGCACCTGTCTGAGGGAGATGTACACCACCCACGAGGATGTGGAGATTGGCCGCTGTGTGCGACGCTTTGGAGGAACACAGTGTGTGTGGTCGTATGAGGTAAGAACTGAGGCGGTTCTTTCAGGGAAATTCATTGTCATAAAGTCAACATTCAGTGAGAGGAAGTATGGTAAGTATTGCTGGATTCAGTTATCAGAAATCCTTTATTTATTTGTCCTGTATTGGGGACATTTACGTTATTAACTTTGGTAAACTTTACAGGTTTATAATATCCTTCTTATAAACAGTTTTCAGTACCAGTTTAATTAGATATCTCATTCAATCAAAAAGCATGACAACTTATTTTGTTTTGCTTATTTAGGGATGTCAAATCATAGCATGCCAGTCCACAACAAAGCTCAGTTTTATTGCCTGCGCAGTGGTTTATATGGACTTGGAAAAACATTAGGCCTTATGACAGTTAGAGAGTTATTGTGGTTCTAGGACATGATCCATGCTCTTACCCTCTCTTTCCACAGATGCAGCAGCTCTTCTACGAGAACTATGAACACAACAAGAGAGGTTTCATTGAAGAACTTCACAGCAGCAAGATCCACAACGCCATTACACTCCACCCCAACAAGAAGCCGGCCTACCAGTACCGTCTGCACAGCTTCATGATGAGCCGGGAGATCTCCAGACTCTGTTACCAAAGCATCCTGCTGCACCGGGAGGGCCTGATGATGAGTCACCTGAGTGATAGTGAAGTGCTGTGGGAGGACCAACAGCTGGGCTCCTCTCCTTCCTACATGCGCTTTAAACCAGGCGATAGGAATGATGTCATTGAGTGGGATTTCCTGACTAGTCGCCATATTTATTCTGCTGCAGAGAACAAAGTGGCCCGGCAGAGCCTTGGCAACCTGCTTCGTACTGCAATGGAAGACGTTATACGCCAGGTCATGGAAATGATTAACGAGAATTCCAAAACACGCGGCCGTGTAATCGACTTTAAGGAGATCCAGTACGGCTATTACAGGGTGGATCCCATGCATGGCGCAGAATACATCATAGACTTACTGCTTCTCTACAAGAAACACAAGGGACGTAAGATAACAGTGCCCGTGAGACGACACGCTTACCTTCAGCAGTCGTTCAGTCGTCCCTTCTTCACTGAAACTGAAGAGTTAGACGTGTCTGAACTCGTCGCCGCCATCAACTCTGAGTCACAATCCCTGTCTTTCCTGTCCAACTCTCTGAAGTTTTTGTCACCTTTCCAGGTCTACGAATCAAACAGGGAGATGTGGGAGCAGAGCCAAAGAAAAGTCAACATCCTCGTCCCATTATCAGGTCGCTACGAGAACTTTATCCGCTTTATGGAGAACTTTGAGAAAGTGTGTTTGATACCTAAACAAAATGTTAAGCTCTCCATCATTCTGGTAGACAATGAAAACATGGAAAAACACGCTCCGTTAATGAAAGACTACAGCAGGAAGTATCCCAAAGCTGACCTGTCAATCATCCCCATGACAGGCAACTTCTCACGAGGCCTTGCTCTTGAGCTGGGCTCCTCACAGCTGGATAACGACTCCTTACTCTTCTTCTGCGATGTTGATCTCATCTTTAGTGGGGATGCCTTGCAGCGCTGCAGAGAAAATGCTGTCCAAGGGAAACAAGTCTACTTCCCTGTTGTCTTTAGCCAGTACAACCCCAAGATAGTGTACTCTGAGAAGGCCCCGAGAGAAAACAAATTTGTTCTGACCAAGAAAAGTGGTTTCTGGCGGGATTACGGATTTGGAATCACCTGTGTTTTCAAGAGTGATTTGATAAAAGCTGGAGGTTTCGACACCTCGATATTAGGCTGGGGATTGGAAGACGTAGACTTGTACACGAAAGTGATTAATTCTGGGTTGAAAGTGTTACGCAGTCAAGAACCAGGAATTGTTCACCTTTATCATCCTGTCCACTGCAACACAAGTCTTGAGCAGAAGCAATACAAGATGTGCCTTGGGTCGAGAGCAAGTACGTTTGCATCGACAATGCAGTTAGCAGAGCTGTGGCTGGAGAAACACGTAGAGACGGGCTACAACAGAACCGCATCCTGACCCTTCAGCTCTCCTGGACTCGACACCGGTGTAGCTCAGGCTGCTGGGACGCATGTTGTGGTGTGACAGAGGACATGAGCTCTTTGTAGCTTGGACAAACTGATCCAGAAAGTGCAGAAAACTGAAATGGACCGATCCAGTAAGGCCATACAAATCCAAACTGACGACACAGCAGGGAAGAAACCAGAGGAAATACAACATGACGTAATCAAGTATGGTATTGCTGTGTCAACGTGTTGGAAGCCTTCATAAGACAAGTCTCTGCTACCTTATCCAGTTCTAAACCAACTAAGGAAATCATGGACTAAATCCAAATGTGTTGTTAGTTTCAGAATTATTGATTTGTTAACTGCTGTGTCAATGATGCAAACATATAGCTTTGTAACCTTCCAGCTCTTAGGGATTTGTTTAGAGCAGTGTTTCTCAAACTTTTTCATACCAAGGACCACTTAACCAATAAAAAAACACTCGCAGACCATCTAACTCCACAAATATCCAAAAACAATAGGCCTGCTTACCACTCCAACAGTATAACAAATTTACAGCCTAATAATGACAGCTTAACCTTCTCACCTCGTTCACACATTAAATCAACAATACCAATACAACAGATTATGTAAGCATTTAGTTCAAATGCGATTTAAAATGCTCAGGTTTTACACCTCTTATGAAATGTAGACTACATTTATTACGGAGTTTATGTCCGAGCCAACAGACTCACAGATCGTTGGCTACTGAGAGATATGCAAAATACACCACATGTAGTACGACACAAACCTCCGCTGTGGATTTTCAAAACAAAATACAGTAAAACTATGATCGCAGGCCCAAGTTTAACTCTCTGAGGTCTAAGCCCTTTTTGCCCATGTTAGGCTTGCCTGGGCTTTTTTTCTAAAAATGCTATTAAAACATGAACCTTGGTGACCATCGGGCTGGCCTGCATGGTCTGCCTACAAAACAAAAATAAAAAAACATTTATGCAGCCCCAATAACAGCCTCTGATCATCAACAGATTTCATGCAATGCTTCATTGGATGCATATATTAGATAATAATCTCTATCTAACTCCTAACACATCTGAATCTACTTCCAGCATGGATAAATGTTCGTAAAAGACAACATGGCAACATGTGTGACGAAGGTGTTGCGCTGGGCTATATCATGCAATCGAAAGTTAAGCTCGCTCCATTGCGGAGATATTCCTGTGAGAGTGCGGAAAACTTTAAAATGTGACATTTTACCAATATACTCACGGACCACTGTGGTCCGTGAGTATATTGGTAAAATGTCACATTTTAAAGTTTTCCGCACTCTCACAGGAATATCTCCGCAATGGAGCGAGCTTAACTTTCGATTGCATNTTTAAGCGGCGGGCTCCAGCAGCGAAAGCTGGAGGCCGGAAAAGAGTGAGACAGGTAGCGCGCAAAAGTAAAAGTGGAACGAGAGACCGAACGAGAGCAAGACAGACAGACATTACGAGAGCGAGACAGTTTGTCCCCGTACCACTGGTTGAAAACCACTGCTGTAGATCACTGCCGGTACGTGCGCTGGGAGCGCACCGTTTAAGTTTGAAAGTTGAAAAGTTTGTGTGTCTGAAACGCTATGTGATACAGTACAGTTTACACAGCACAGTACAGTACATGTTCTGTAGCTACTATTGCACTGCGGCTTATAGTCCAGTGCGGCTTATATATGTACACATCATTCAATTTAGCTGCTGCGGCTTATATTTGCTCCCCCCCTGTGTTGTCCTTTGCCTGTTCATGTAATGTTCATGTTCAATTTTCTTGTCCAATATGTTGTCTTCTGCCTGTTCACCCCCTTTCTGTACTTTTANTCTGTCTGTCTTGCTCTTGTTCTGTCTCTCGTTCTGTCTCTCGTTCCACTTTTACTTTTGCGCGCTACCTGTCTCACTCTTTTCCGGCCTCCAGCTTTCCCTGCTGGAGCCCGCCGCTTAAAGGTGGGGGGCGCGGACCGGCCATAGAGCCCATAGAGTTAAAGGTGGTGGACTGTAACCTGTAAAATCCATAGATTTAGGAGGTCCCCTAGTGGCCGTTGGCTGTACAAATCCATAGATTAGCCGCACCGTTATATAAGCCGCAGCGTCGAAAAATGGGAAAAAAGGCGCGGCTTATAGTCCGAAAATTACGGTAATCATTCACGCAGGGATTGTCACTACAGTAGCTAGGAGGTGGGTTCGAAACCCGAGCCCTCCGGAGTTGTCAGGTAATGTCTTCCCCTCTATCTCTCAATGTAACACCCTCTCTGGAATAAAGGCACTCTGGCCCAAAACTCAAAGGGCCAGTAAATATCACCCCGGGGCCGGATTTGGCCCGCGGGCCGCCAATTGAATAGCCCTGCTCTACTGTATGATTTTCCCCTTTTGAACCCAGTCTTTGGACTTTCTCCTGGCTAGGTGATAGCCAGCGTCCCCAACAGCAAGTTGCGCTTCCTGCGGAGGGCAGGCCAGTTAACTCGGAAAGATGATTTACCAGAGGAGGACACGAACGAAGATAATGACGAGATTGACCATGCGGAGAGGGAGCTGAGGAGAGGGCAGATCCTCTGGTTCAGAGGACTCAACCGCATTCAGACTCAGGTGAGGACACAAGTTCAATCCCCGCGTTGTTTCACTTCACAGAGAGTCTTTGCTGGATTGATTCTGCTTGAAAGAAATAACATTTACATCATTGAAATTCTACTCTAATCAGTCGTATCATTAGTTAACTACTTGTTTTGTAATTATATTTCAGATGTGATTTCTTTCCTGACTTAGCTTTCTGTTAACTTGTTGTCTGTCTTTGTCATACAATTCAACATTTAAGACCCCACCTCAGAGGCTCAGAAGAAGAAGTGCTAGACTATGTGATATGTTCTTCACCTTAGTCAGTAACAGCCTTAAAGTCATTGTATCACAAGCTGGTTTATTTAGGTGCATGAAGACGCAGCCGTCTCTCGCTGGACTGAGGCGACCGGCTGTGTGGAAGATGGACGGTCAAACCTCAGGAGTTAAATACAACCGGACAAGTCACTACTCTGTGACCCCTCTGCACACCGTTATCACTGTGATTGACAAGACAGTTCTGCTTGTGTGTTGGACTTGATTTCATTTCACTGATGTGTCACTACTGGTCCAGGGTGAAGCTATCCACGCGACAGGATACTGTGCACTGCAGACTGGGTTTTGGAACAGTAGAGATACACTTTCTCAGTACTTAAGGTTCAAATCAACTCAAATCTGTATACAGGCTGTATGCTATAAACATGCAAATTATGATAACTCGTATTTTGTGCTTTAAGTTGAATTACCCTGGATAATCCACACAATATTCTATCAGTGGTCTTCATAGGTTTTCTTCCTCAGTACAATTTAGTTCTATTAAAAACAGTGAGGTCCATGGATTATTTTGGGAGCACACTAGGACAATGTTTTTGAAGAGACACTGAATTTATCAATTGATTAGACACAACTTTGACTCACTAGATCTGCCCAAATAGAGGATTACAATCTAAAAACGATTTTGAAAACTCATTTAATTCCATAGTATTTGGTTGAAGGCATTATATCTTAAGATGAGGTTAGAGAGATGTAATTAAGGTTGTTTTAACTGTTCAAATTCAACATTTTGTTGAGGGGATGCTACACCCTGACCTTTAGCTGTCCCCCCCCCCCCCCAGAAAGCCCACCCCCATCGTGTTGTGTTTGAGACACTGTCAAAGTCACTCAGCCAGTCAACCTGTGTTGCCATTTGGTCTCTGTCACTATGAGCAGCCATTTGTCCTCTTCTGTCCCGCTCTCCTCCCACAGATTGACGTAGTCAACACCTTCAAGAGTGGCACGTCCTTTCAGGGGGCGGGGGCCCTGAGACGCCAGTCGTCCACCACCAGCCAGACCCAGGATGTAACCAATGTTTCTAGTCCTAGTCACGTGTCCTTGTCCAATGCCCTTTCCTCTCCTACAAGCACTACTGCTGCTACTGCTCCTTCCACTACTGGCCGTGAGTCAGATCTCTGTCAGTCTGCTTCTCTTCTCTCTTTGCTTCAGAGGTGCCATCATGTCATGCACAATTTCTGCCTTTTTATCCTCAAATAAATAAATGACCATGACAGTATCCATTTGGGTTTGGCATCTCTGAAGGTTTTGTCTTCCTTTTTTTTCCTTCTTGCTATCTGCTTATTTCATTTCCGTTCTCTCTTCTGTCTTTTTGCTGTTCATACTCGAGTTCAAATTTCATCTTAAAATCTCCTCCCGTGCTTTGGTGTACTGTCGTCTCATTGGTGAATGTGTGTTTGTTTTCTCAGAGTGCTAGGAGCGCAGGACTAAGGGTGATACCCACGGCGTGACATTTCAGGTTGTGAGTTTGTCTCCCTCTGCTCATTCCCCATCCACCATCCCATCCTACAATCATTCCATGTGTATGTCTTGACGGACATTAATGTGAACTTATTCCAGTCAACTCACCAAGGGACTGGGTAAACATTCAAGTATAAGTCGCCATGTTGTCTGGTTTCATCTGTGAGTTTGCTAGTGATGGGGCAAATCACTCTGAATTGAGCTGAAGCAATTTTTTAGGTGCTATTTCATGTATTCTCTAGTTGACTCTGTATTGACAGGAAACAATAATGGAAGCTACGCTAGGCAAGACTTTCTAAAAAACAAGATTTTCTTTTAAATGACATTTTAGGGGCACAACTAAAATCTACAGTATCAGTGACTATGCCTGCTTAATATATTGTAAATCTTCTGTATTTCCCTGTTTTTTTACACACACACACACACACACACACACACACACACACACACACACACACACACACACACACACACACCGTGTGTTGTCTCTAATCTACTTGACAAAAAGCTGATGTAAAACTTAGCTGAGGGTTGTGTGTGGACACGGTTTGAGAATCACCAGAAAGCAGCGCTGCACCAATAATTCATCCCGTCTTGTAGCTTCATTCTGTCGCTGTAGTTTTCTGTCATGTTGCCATAGTTACCGACATCGATCCTCTGCAGCAACAGCGACGTAAATCTTACCACCCCCCCTCCTTTTCTGACACCCCATCAGTGTTACTTGTCAGACATCCTGTCACATGCACTCATCCCGACAGGCTCCTCTTATTCTTTGGTTTTGCTGTTTTGTCTCCTTATTCCCTGCTCTGCCACATATTCAGGGCAGCAGTGCTAACATATTTACAGTACACACAGTATTTGTGTACACTTTTATAGACTAAACATGAAATCTGTTAACTGTTCTTTTTTCAGTTCGGCCTAAAAATATATATCTGTAAATACGTACATTATGTTTCTGCATTTTTTTCATCAAAAATAACGTAACTTGTTTTTTTTCTCAATTTAACAATTAGTGGAAGCATTTCACCGACATTTCAATATTTTTTTTTGGTCCAAGTATTTCCACGGGTTTAAATGTTCCCGTAGTAAAAAATATGTTTGGATTGCTTAAGCTTTTTTTTCATCCTTCTAAAAACAAGATCTTATCCATGTAGAATAATCATGAAGACACAATGGCGTAATAAACCTTATTTAGCTTTTGTATACATCCCATCTGCCCTGAGTAATTGTCCTGTATAAAAGCATCAAATAATAACTTGT